GTATGGAACCAAGTTAGGTGCCCTTCAACAGATGAATGGATAAGGAAAATGTGGTCCATATATAAAAGGGAATATTACTCTCTCATAAAGGCAAATGAAATTATGGCATTTGCCAGTAAATGGATAGAACTGGAGGCTATTATGCTAAGTGAAATAAACCAACCCCCCAAAACCACAGGCTRAATGTACTCTCTGACATGTGGATACTGACTTACAATGGGGTGGGGGGTACAGGGAATTGAAGTTTAATGGAATGGAAAGCTGGGAATGGGYGAAGGGAGGAGGGATGGAAAGGYGAAAGACAGTAGAATGAATCGGACATAACTTTACTATGTTCATATATGAATACACAACCAATGTAACTCCACATCATGTACAACCACAAAAATAGGAAGTATACTCCAGGAGTATGATATGTCAAAATATATTCTACTGTCATGTATAACTAAAAAGAACAAATGAAAAATATTAAAATTTAAAAAATCTCATGACGTGAAAATTATATAAAACTCAAATTCCAGTACCCATAAATTGAATTTTAGAAGAACACAGCCACATTTATGTATTGTCTTTGCTTTCTTACTGTAAGAACATCATGTACTACTTGTGGCAATGACCATCTAGCCTACAAATCCTAAATATTTAATATGTAGCCCATTAAGAAAATTTTTCATACCCATGGCTTCCAAGGGCTAGTGTGTTCATTCTGCAGAGCTGTAAGGGAAAATAAATCTTCACCTACCATATACAGTCATGTGTTGCTTAACAACAAGAATGTGTTATAAGAAATGAGTAATTAGGCAATTTAGTCATTGTGTAAACATCATAGCGTCTACTTCCACAATCCTAGATGTTCCTATGTTGTAAACCTAGACTGTATGGTTTACACCATTGTATATGTGGTCTGTCATTGACCAAAACCTTATGTGACAACATGATTGTCTCTGAAGCTCTTTAGTGAAGAAATGTTTATTTCATGTTAAGAAAAACTGCTGATCCTCAAAGGAAACTCTGGGAGTATGTTGGAAAGCTTTGAAGTGGTAAGAGGYACAGGCAACCTGAGAATCTCCTTGGTTTCAGCAATGGGGATTATAGATCAGACTGGGTGAGGGCAACTCCTGGACAAAGGAGAGGATGGGTGGATTGGGACAGGAGAAGGGAGACATTTGAGGCAACAGAAACAAGAACACTATGAGTACCTGACTGCAAAGCTACATCTTGGATTTGTGAGTATATTTTCCTTTTTGGTTTTGCTCTTGATAGCCTATAATTGGCACTATCTTCTGAGAACTTCCCCTTTTGCAACTTGTGAACTTTCTACCTCAAAAGGAGAACACAAGCTGGCCTGGAGCCCTGTCTATACTCCATGGCTGACCTCAGGAAATCTAGGGCGGGCCCATTCCCTTAACACAGGGATTCTGAAAAAAAAAAAAAAATTCCCTGCTTAGTCACTGTCTAAAAATGCCTTTAGGCACAGTCAGGTTGGGAAATGTACTATTGTTGAAACACAATGAGAGGTTCCCAAGAAAAATGGCAGAAAGATAATCAGCTGACAATCTGCAGGACCACAGTCTCTGAATCTCCCAAAGTCCCTCAGTTCTGGGATGTCATGTAGAGCCCTCAGCCCCCACCCCTTGCCTTTCACTGCACTAGTTCAGAAATTCATTGCCTCTTCCAGGATTCTGTGCCAGCCTCCTCTCTGAAGTCCTGCTTCCAGAATCCTGTTCCATTATACACTGTCCACTACCTGTCATAGCCCCCAACACAGAAAACACCCACAGACTGAATGAAGAAAACAAAGAAATGAGAAAAACAGCATAAATAGTAAAAAACAAACAAACAAACAAAAACTGGGTGGTTTAAAGTGAAACAACAATAAAAAAGACAAATCATTCGATACAGTACATTCCCTGCTATATTGCGTGCCTGTAGGCTCAGCTCCTATCTTCCCAAAGGGTGGCTTTAGAGTAGTTCCCAGCTTTCTGCCCTACTGTRCACATCCCGTTCCCTGTATCCTGGATGTCACTTATCCCAGAAGGCTCTAGTGCAGGTTCAYGTCATCTCTGCTATAAATAACAGCAAACTCTCTTGACTGTGTTACAGGTCCTGAATTCTCAACTGTGAACAGAACAAAAGGCTCTTTCTGTTGTAAGCCACAGTTCTTGGAAGTGTCTGTGCAGGACCCARGGCTCAACTGGAATAGAGAGGTCCTCTCACGGGGCCAGGCAGAGGAGAGGGCAGAGGGAGCACCGCAGGAGAGGACCACGCACCTGTCAAAGGAGGGCCGCTCCCCGGCATCAAAAGCATCTCTCAGCTGCTTCACCAGGTTGTCCTGGCCGGGCAGGCGGAAGATGCCCTCTTCATTCACACCGTGCTCCAGGATGAACTCTGCACACTTCTCCACCAGGATGGGCACCAGGTGGGGGCCGAACTTCTGTTCATAGGCCACAGTCTCATCCAAGCGCTGGCCAAACACCGCTGGAAAGAGAGCAAAGCCCATCATTGGGACCTTTCCTAGATCAACTGACAGATCAAAGTGCTTTGCTTATTTTTCGGTGTGGCCTGTGGCTTTAAAGAATTCAGTGCAAAGATACTAACCAAAACACGGGAGACAAATTACTCATTACATTTCCTGAAGCTATAAATTTGGGGCAGTCTCTGTCAGGTTTTTTTTTTCTATTCACCCACATATTTATATATTTAAAACAACAGCTGGAGTTCACCAAGTACTTGTGGGCTAAGGATGGTACTAAGTATTTTGTACACCTTTTATTATTTAATCTTGTACCCATTTTACGTTAAAGACACTGAGCTTAGACATACTAGTGAACTTGCCAGCTCATATATAGGACACGGCACTGTCAGAATTCAAGCCCAGACAATAAACTCCTGGGAACGTGCAGTAAACCATGACAACAAGCAGCCCATTTTGAATTCTGCTTGTGTCAGAGAGCATGAAAGCATAATGGCCACACAGGGTTGTCTCATACTGTGCTAAACCATTGTGACATTTAAAATAACTACTATTATAAACATTGCCACGGTGCACACATTCTCCACCCTCCTGGGGTGTATGTAGCACACATGCATTATGTCTAATTAATTACTTAGTTAATTAACACTTGGCTAGGTGAACAGACATTTGATTCTTTTGAACTATTGCCAGAGGGCACACTCCCACATGAAGCATTACAGGGTCAAGTGGTTTGAACATTTTTATGACCTGATGTGATGCAAATTGCTTTCCAAAAAATCTTTTCTCCAATTGCACTGCCTCCAGCAGAGCAAGCATGGACCAGCGCCACCCCAGCCCCAATAGCACTGGGCTATCTGGAATTCCCCCACCCACCATGGGTAACAAAATGAGTTTCTGAATGAGCACAATCCTTGCCTACCTATTCTGCCATCAAGCTCCAGGCCCCTAGTGTCCTGAGGGTTCAGAAGACAGGCCGTGGCTTCAGTTCTGTCTTGCCTGGTCCTACTTCTTTTACAACCAGGACTCTGCTCACCCTGGCACTTCAATCCCCAGGACACTGGTTTGCAAAGATCCTAGGTTCTCCTCATGATTCTATCTCTGGCTGAAATGCTCTATCGYGAGTCTAATTAAGGTGGATTCCACCTATAAAGAGCTACACCAGGCTCTCTCAAATTTTCTATGTCCTCCTGGCCTTCACTGCAGCCAAACTGTCACAGTTTCTTCCTTTTACCATTTTCAAAACCCTTCTGCTCCCTACCTTCCTGAATCACTGCTCTACCCGAGCAACAACATTTTACTGGGCTTGAATAATCATTTAGTTCTCCAATTGCCACAGCAGCGGTCTTCAGTTTGCTCCTCCAAACCTAAGACCTCCTCTGAGCCCCACCCCTCATCATGTCCCAAGTGCTGGAAGGTGAGAATGTTGGGTCTAATCCCAACCAGATCGTCTGGGCTGCTGTCTCACTGCATTTCAGTGAGGCTTAGTTAGATTAAACAGTCTTGTGGTACAAGTGTGAAAGCCAAGGCTGGCATTCCTCAGGTTGGCCTGGTACCCACCAACATTTTTGGTGTGACTTACTGTCATGCCCCAAAGGCACCTCACCCTGATGTTCCCAAAACACAGTGCTCTCCAGTCTCTGTGTCCTTGGACAGTCTCTTCTGGCTGCCCAGCCTGTCCTCTCTCTTCCCTGTCTCATGGATTCTGTGTGTTTCCCCTGGCCCCTCTCAAATAGGGCTGGTCTCTGCTGGCAAGTCCCCCAGATAGATAGTCCACATCCCTACTCTGTGCATCTGCCTCCCTTCTCGAATGTCCCATTCCTTCCTACACSGAGCCTATGTGCTGCAGGAGATCAGAAGCCCCCTGAGGCCAGGAGAGGGAGAGGGTCTCGTTTTGTCCCCAATATTTAGCATAATGTCTGGCACAAGGCAGATGCAAATTCTGCTGAATTACCTAATGAATTAACTTGTCCTTAAGCAAGTATTTTGGCATTTCTTTAGTTGAAACCTTAGCAGGCATCTCTGCAGACATGTAGGACCTGACTCTTGCTTTCTAAGAGCTTACCATCCAGTTATGGAAATGAGAGGACCACACAAAAAATGGCCAGAGACAACCAGAGAATGTCCATCAACAGAATTAGGTTTCTGTTTGTACGTGAAAGGAGGTGAAGAGAGAGTTCCACCAAATGAGAAGGACACAATTAAAATGATCTGACTTAAAACAGACCACATAGTATTTGGGAAATTCCCTTTGAGGAGTTTTTTGTGAGGTCCAGAGAGTGGCTGGCCCTTAGGGGGCCAGGCAGATGTCTTTTGGAGTAGTTAAAACTTGGGATCCAGGAGTCTTCAGGACTCACCTGGGGGAAAACCCAAACATAATATAAGGATGAGAAGTCAGGCTTTTCTCCTTAGCGGAGACCATCAGCCTTGCTGTGTCTGGCCTCCACTCCTCCATGCACTCTGAGTTGTTCTCACCAGGACATTCACTTCCCAACATTACTTTTCCCTCCAACATGCCTACCGTCTTCATCAGGCCCCTGGGAGCCATGAGGAACAAGCCATTGCCATCTCCTGGAAATTTATAATCCCAATCTTTCTAAGACCTTGGTTCCAAATTGTCGTCACYCCCTTGAGCTCACCACCCCTTCCCTCCCCTCTGTGACAGTAGGTAACCTTGTCTCCTCTGTCCCTAWGTCTCCAAATGGAGAAGGCGAGTGTACTCCCTCACCCCCAGTCCTGCCTCTCTTTCCTTCCTCCACTTCTGTCCCTGTCCTCTCAGGGGAAGGAAGGGTTCTGTCTTCCTGAGTGACGCTTTCCTGAACTGTCTGCTCCATCCCTTCCATCTCCTCTGGGACTTAATCTTTAAAATAGAAATTATATTCTTTTGATATAGAGAGCCTATGTTAGCTTAGGTCTTTGTCAATTTATGAAAGAATAATCTCCTACCCAGCTCTTACATGAACGACCTGCACCCAAATAGCCTGATTCACAAAATTCCAAGCATTAGAATTAGCCATACTACCTTTCTTTCCCCCAATATGGATCCCATCCTACATATGCTTCAAACAACTTTCTATTCTTGATGCTGACATCTACATCATTCCTGAAATGGTTGCTTTCTTCCTTTCTTTCTTTCTTTTTTTTTTTTTTTTTTTTTTTTGGTTGGATCGAACCCAGGGCCCTTAGCCACTGAGTCACATCCCCAGCCTTTTTTTTGTACTTTATTTAGAAACAGGGTCTGGCTGAGTTGCTTAGGGCCTCACTAAGTTGCTGAGGCTGGCTTTGAACTCACTATCATTCTGCCTCAAYCTCCCAAATTGCTGAGATGACAGGAGTGTGCCACAGCGCCCAGCCTACAAGGGTTTCTTTTGCAGTTCTGTTTCCAGAAAAATCCTTCTACCAGAATTCACAAAATCATTCAGCAAATGCCAACTGAGCATCTGTCCTCGTGCCAGGCTCCTTGGTGGCTGGAGATTATGATAGAAAGAATGAAAGGTGATCTTTGTGCTTAAAAACTCTTGCACTAATGCCATTCCTCCTATATCTACTACCTGGAAACCCAATCTTTCTGAGTTTCAATGTTTCTTCAAAGGGATCTGGCCACTCCTTCCTCTGGGCTAATGGAGCTCCCGATGCACACCTCTGTTTTTATGGCCTCTCCTGTAGTTTTATGATGATTTATTTAAACATCTTTCCCTTCCACTRGACTGTGGGCTCCTCAAAGGCAGACGGCTTGTCTGGCTCACCATCTATTTTTATCTCCTGGCACAGAAATTGGCACGTGATGGACCAGACCACCAAGAGCTATTTCTACCTGCTGCCTCCCATTCCTCCRGGTCTCCACCCCTTCTCTATTCAGCATTTCTCCAAACCTGCTCTTGTCCRGAGATCAATGGCCTTTATAGCTCTAAGCCCAGGAGTCAAATGTCCAGGCCTMAACTCAGCTGCTATTAGCAGCATATGACAAAGCAAATCACTCCCTCTCCTCAAGACGCTTGCTCATGTAGCCTTGGGTACACCACTGTCTCTCAGTTCCTCATTTATCTCATTGGCTGTTCCCTCTCAGCCTCCCCAGATCATTGGTCCTTTCTCACCGTCCCCCAAATGCCAGAGTCTTCTAGGGCTTCCCGTCCCCATTTTCATGAACTTCCTCATAATCTCATAAATATCACACAGATTTAAAGACTCCAAACTCTACATCTCCAGCCTAGAAATGAGTTGAAGCTCTTTCCTCCAGCCAGAACTCACCACTGTGGGCTACATTRGGACCACAGTGCCTCTTCTTCCATGAGACAAAGAACATTCTTGTTACTTTTAGTTTGTCTAGATCAGGTTTTGTCCTTCTTCAACTCAGATCACCTATGAGGAGTCTGGAATCCAAAACTTCAATGGAACTCCAAAGACCCAAGCCTGAATAGTACTGATTTCTGATCTCTAGACCCTTATCTCTACCCTTTGATTCTGAGTGGACGTGAAAAAGCCTAAATGTGGGAAAACAGATAAACAGAGAAAAGCCCAAGAAGAAAACAGGAAGAGGCCATTGAAGGAAGAAGACATCGGGGCAGGAGTTATTCCAAGGCCATTCTCCTTGCCAAGGACAAGAAGAGGCAAGTCCCAGGCTGCCACATCTGTGTCATGCCCTAGTAGGCTGGACCCACTCTTTCAGGGGACTGGTGCTCCATGCTGACTACCCTCTGACAGCAGGATGGGGGTCTGATCAACTCCTACTCAGAAGTCATCACCACTTTGAGCCAGTCACCATTACATAGGCATTTCCATCCTAACCATTATAACATTTCATTAATTATAATTGCTCTACGTGATAGAATTATTTTAATTGCTAAAAGTAATATCACGATCCTCATAATTGGCCACTTTAAGTTAATTTTGTGCTGGGAACTGCCTCAGATGTTTCCATGTGTGCTATCTAGTTTGGTCCTCGCCGAGCCCCACAAAGTRTTCCATTTTACAGATGAAGAAACTGAGACTCAGATGAAGAATTTAT